TCCACTGTTTTTCCCTCATAAGTTCTCTTCATTATTTTTGTTAACATCTCATATAATCTAACGAGATTCTGGGATTAACCTAGTCTTCCTTTTGCCATACTGTGGCCAAACATCTATGGCTTCAATGTTGGTGCATATGCTTTTGAAGTTGGAAAATTTGCCATATTCTTGCATTTTTCACATGTATATTAGGCAAAATTGCCTATGGTGGAAAGGTAATGGCCCTGACTGGCTATTGTACCATGAGCTATCATGCATGCGCTTTCCATTCCACAAAATGATCCGCTTTTCATCCTCTAGCCTAAGTGAACTTCAAAGTTAGGAACAATTAATGTGTCGAGTGGATTAGTTTCGCAGGATATACCTTCTAGTTATGTTAATATGCAATGTATATGAGAGCAAATGTATTTGCCTTGTAACCTTTCTTTATATTAATGAGAAGTTTTTGTTTTTTGTTATATTTGGCTTGCTTAAGAACACGAAATTTAAATAATCATTCAACTTTGTTTTGTTTGTATTTCATTGATAATACTTTCTTAAAAGCCTGTTTGAGAGTGATTATGAGAATTGATTTTTTGATCGTTAGGAGAAAAGTGGAGTCCACATGTGAGAGAAGAAATCAAATATAACGGCTGAAATAGTAAAATAACAATCAAAAAATTAATTTTTTGAAGGAAAAAATCGCTCCCAAACAGGCTATAAGTATATCTCATTTCAAGGGTGTTTAAAAGGCTTGCCATCTTCACCTATGAGCTTATAGGTTTATACTCCAATAACTTCAATTATCGTGTATGGTCCTTACCAGGGCCGGTCCTGTGATTGTCGGGGCTCGAGACGAAATCCAAAAATTAGGTCCCCCAAAATGAACGTAAATGCAAAATTGAACGATATATTATGCAACATATTGTTACCTTAAAACTTAAGATTAAAACAACAAACAAATATCTCAATCATATCACAATTAATGAAAAACTATTTTCCTTCTTTCAATATTTAAAAAAAAAAAAAAAGAACTTCGGGCCAAAATAGGCCCTTTGTGGTTTTGGACCTGAGGCACAGGCTTCATTTGCTTGTGCCCAGGACCGGCTCTAGTCCTTACCACTTCAGACCTAGCGAACTAGAGCTCATTTCTTTCCATGCGACAAACACTTTCTTTAGTATTAGGTCTCCAACTTTGAAACATTTTCTGGGAATTTTGAATTTAATTTTTTTTCCATCCTTTTTTGGTATGCTGCAAGCTGTTGGGAATCTACTTATATATGCACAGCGAAATTTAAAATTATTTCGATTCCCACCGAAGATCCCTTTATATTTAGATAGAAATTGTGATAAAGATTGTACCTTTGAAGAATTCTGCAAACCTTTTGCTTTTCTTTTCTTTCCAGCAATCTTGATTTGCCACCCACAACTGTCGAATTGTCCAGTCTCCAACGGTGATCCACACAGAGAATAAGATTGCACCTTCTAGGGTTTTCTCTCTTGTGCCAGCAATAATAATGAAAATCGTATGAATTGAAAATCCTAATCTTTTATTTATATAAGTCCAAACGAGCCTGGCTCGGTCCGGTCCAATATTTAATTAAACCATTTAATTAAATCTGGTGCATGAATTAATTAATCCAATTAATTAATTCGGGCCTATAAATAACCAACCCAATTAATTAATTTATCCAACGGTTGTTAAATTAATTAATTGATAAATTGTAATCTTCCAATTCTCTTTTGTGTGTGACCCATCAAGCTCTCGATCACGATGCCTAACGACATGAAATATTATTTTGATCTAATCAAAATTGATAAATTAAAATACCCTTTTAATTTATCGTCAATTCACACTCGTCGTCTCTGATTGACATCGAGCAATGTGTTTGGGCAATACATGTGACTGGGAAATGTCATGTGGTGTGACAAAACCAAATTCGTTCGTTTACCGTGAAACTATAATCCCTTCGTCAATATGATCCGATCAACTACGAGATATGAAAGTGTGTCAATCTCGATTATCGATCATATCTTTCACTCCACTATTAAGTCAATATAAGTCGAAACTTCTTTTCGATTTATGAGTACACCTTGGCTAAGAATTTTCATCATTGACTTAATTGAATGAAACGCAGATCATAATCTCCTACTATTTAAGAGTGACGAATCCTTTATTGATCAATCACTACCTTCATACGTTTCTTGACGTACCCAAACGATGTCGTTTTAGCGGCCCTTTTCAGAGCAACATCCAGTACCGCTAAAGTTTGACTATCCTCATATAAGATACCACGACGACCTCAAGTCAAATGACCAATTCCACTATCGAACATTAGAGATTAACCACTGACACTCAGATAGTTATCCATGAGGAATTTCTCGGCGGGTCTCCAATGTTTTATTCTATAACAAAACATCCACGTGTTCATTTAAGTGTCACCACACTTTAACTTGTGACATCAGCTACTTATTTCACAAGTAAGAAATGTCACACGTGATGGTCTATCCGTAATAATGATATCCGTATCTCATTATTACTTACGACCATGGATGATTTAAGATTCAATCAGATGTAATTTGTATCTCATAATCACAACTCCTTGTGATTAACAAATTACGGAGATCTGAATCTTCTGACTCTATTATTTATTTAATTGTCTATTAATTAAATAATAGATCTGTCATTAAATTGCATTAAATATATATCAAAAGTATTTATGTCCAAAATTGATTGGACCTAGGACATGATACTTACACAAGCTTAGTCTATGTTCCCATTTATAGCATCTTCATTTTGTTCTTCTATTATATCCTATTCTCCTTGCGGAACTTACCCCTACTTAGACTGGCAATATTGCTTCTATCACATCGATTAAGGAGAAAGGAGTTTCTCCTGCAGCGGTTCTTATGGTGGTGTGATAAGACCATAAAATTTGCAACAATTCATTGACCCATAATCCTTTTGCAATATCCAACTTTCTTTTTAAGATGTTGGAGAAGTGTTTACGAATCACCAATTAGTCACATATTGCTCTCAATTTTTTCCTTGGAAATGTGTGTCATTAAATGATATTATAGAGTTCAGCACCCCGGATAATATTAGCCTCAGTGATACTTACGAGAGGCCCAGTTTGATGTAATCTACTGCCATGATTATGAACCTTATATTTGACATTCCTTTGGGCTATGGTCTAGCGAAGTCAACTCTCCACTTTTCGAAGGACCAAGGTCTACTACTCGTTACCAGCTCTTGTATTGGTTGTCACGATATTGATGCAAACTTCTGACTTTTTTTTACATTTTCTAGCGAAGGTTAGAGCATCCTTATCTCATAATGGGCCAGTAATAGCATTTTTGCGTCAGGAACTATCGTTATTAGCTAAATGAAAAAGCCTAAAAAGTGTGTGAACTTGCAAGATACCGTAAAATATCGCTTGTCCTGACCTAAACTCCTAGGTGCTCTTTCAAAACGTGAAAAGCCTAAAAGGTGTGTGAGCTTGCAACATAATTTTCTTGATTCAACATGTGCAACTTTTTAAGATTGGCTGATGATTATTTTCTTGTCGTTTTAGCTTTATTATTGATTCACAACAAATAATGACCGTTAATTAATTAATAAAAAGTATTGAAGTGTGAAAAAGAATACAAAAAAAAAAAAAAAAAACAGCAGTATTGATAGATATGCCTATCTTCGTTCCGATGTACACTTGCAAAAGTTAAGTCCACTAGGTATAGTGAAAGGACAGGTGTAAAAGTAACACAAAATACAGCGCTGAACGATATAAAAAGAAGTTTTAAGATAAGATGGGCCGAATTTGGAATCACAAAATTTTTGAAACGATAGAAAAGCAAGCGACGGAGATTAGAGTGGCGGGAATATCATATGATTACGTGTGCCTACGTACCATTGATATCTAAGGTAACGTATTTTTGCAGAATATCCTCTGCCCACCCATCATTATTCTTATTCCTTCTATCTTACCCTTTCAACTTTGCCGTTTCCGACTTTCAAGTCCAAATGTTCTCTCTTCTTCATTACCATTCATAGCCGCATTAACACCAATTTGAATACGTCTATCTTTTCCTACTCATATTAGACAGATTACAATTAGGATATCAGAATCCGAATATATTTTCCCACTTTTTCCGGTTCTTTTCTGGCCAATGCAATGTGCTAACTAGTAAATTTTCATAAGGAATTATCAAACAAGGAATAAGAAGATATTGTTATTTCTTCATTTAAAAATCTCTGATTTAATCATACTACCCCTGCCTTGCGGATTTCAATTTAATGCAGGGGTAAGGGAGGACTCCGAGATATATACAAGAAACTTTGTAAATATCAAGGGAAGATTCGTTCTGGACATTCGCAACATGGGTTCGTACCAATTGATCAAAGAAACTATTAATCCAGAAGCATTGAATCTGCAAGGAAACAAGTGTACTCTGCGCATTGAGGCTAGAGAACGTGGTGATGATGTTGAATCGGCTTTATCAAAACTTGATTCCTCGTCTTCTCCTAGTTTTTGTCGCAATGCCGCCTCCAGATGTATGGCATCTGCTTCTGGAACTACTCGCCTTGTCTCCCTTGATGTATTCCGGGGGCTTACTGTTGTGGTAACTTTTCATCTTATAATTGCATACATAGTACTCGTGCATGTTTATATTTGTTTCAGGTCTAATAATTTGTGTATGTTTAAGCAGTGTATGATACTAATTGTAGCATTTAGGGTCGAAGCATCTATTAGAATAAGGTAGAGAGAAAGACAACCCATTTTACTTTTGGTGGGAGGTTTCTAGACGATTATAATAAAGGACAATAGCAGAATCTTGGATGTTATAGAAGTTAGTAACATAAGAAAAACTGTATAATGAAGTTTCTAGGTAAAGATCATTAAAATTAGACAGTTACTGGCTGGCCAACTTATCTGCGATCTGGGAGAGTATTGGGGAGGCTGAATGAATCAATAATGCTGGTGTCATCTATTTCTTAATTCAAAACATTTACCATCCCATTTCACTTATGATGCAGTTGATGATACTTGTCGATAATGCTGGTGGAATCTTTCCAGCTATCAATCATTCACCATGGAATGGTTTAACATTGGCAGATTTTGTGATGCCATTTTTCCTTTTTATGGTTGGCGTATCTCTTGGACTTGCATATAAGGTACCTTTATTTATAAGAATATAGTTACACATGCCTTAGAGACCTGGCGATTGCATTACGCTAGATTGTTATGACAACTTTCTTTCAGCCTGAGCATCTGCATAAACATATACGATCCTGCCTTATGTTCCCATTACATGACTGTAGAAGCATCTGTTTCTGCTTATCTTATTTTGAGGTAGCCCAATGTCTTTTTCAACGTTTATGGGATTTTTTTTGGAATTATTTTCTTACATCATTTATGTTGTACTCTATTGATACGGCTGGTATTCTATTTGTTTCTTGAGCGATGTCTATAGAGGCTCCTAATATTTCCATGTGTACTAAGTACTTTGCTTTTGCCAGAACTTGACTTGCAGAGGTGCTGCATCAAAAAAAGCAATGTTCCGAGCGCTAAAGCTTTTAACGCTGGGTGTTTTTCTCCAAGGTGTTTTTTACATCGAATTCATTATGATGTATCTTTGTAAATTGCTATTTGATGATGATGACTTATACCAGAATCTCTTGGGAAGGAATTCATTTAGAAGATATTTAGTAATATTTATGTCTTTCTTATGGATGCTTTTACTAGAATTTCTTCAGTGAGCATGCCATCAATCATCTTTTGGTCTTCTTCTTTTCATTCACATCATGTACGTTCACTTCTGATATGTACAGGTGGCTATTTTCATGGTATTAATAACCTAACTTATGGTGTGGACATGTACCAAATTAGATGGATGGGTATATTGCAGGTATGCATCAAAATTTGTTTCCTCAGTTTTCTTCTACTGAACACATTTATAGTCTATATATAAAATCCAGCCCTTTTAACTTCTTTTGGCTTCCTATAGTGAGAAAACTCTTTAGTTTATGTACTTTTTACAGTATTTTTGAAGCGAGTGGTTTATACATTTTTAAGTTTTTTATTTTTTATTTTCCTTACAGAGAATTGCAATAGCATATTTTCTGGCAGCAGCATGTGAAATTTGGCTTAGAAGCAATGAGAAAGTTAATTCAGAATTATCTATGCTAAAGAAATATCAAAAACAGTGGTAAGTTCAAGCCCATGCCTAAATTCGTACGTTTTGAAAGTGTTGAAGAATATGATATGAGATGTCTGTTGCAAAACTGTGTTCAAACTGAAAGAATCAAGTGGAATAAGTATTGGAGGAATTGTGCAATTTGACAAACCATAGCTTCTTAGTAAAATGAAATGCATCTCCATGAGTGAAGCATGTTATTTCATCCCGTAAAACGATATGACAATGCTTGTAGAAAACCTATGAACTGCATAGAATCATCTCTTAGACTCAAAACGTTTATATGCTGCCTTTGTGAGCATGTAAAGGAGTCAGAAGTAATTAACAATTGCTTTGGAATGTATGCATTTAATTTTTAATGTAAGGGTTACATCAACTTGCTGTGAGATATCTGAAATCAAAGGTAATGTAGACGAGCCTATCTTCTGGACTTTTTGTTAAGTCTTCTCAAATGCATAGCTTGTACATGTAAGCAAAGTTACTTGTATGGGAAGCTTCAAAAATGGCACCTCTGCAGCGTAAGCAAGGCTGATTTTGTATGGTGGGATCAGGGATGCACTCAATGAATGAAGGAATTCAAAAATTTTGCTATGCGGCTTATATTTTGTGTAGGCTAGAAATTTAACTCGTCGTCTTTTTGTAATGATCACGCGTGCTCGTATTCAAAATTCCTGTTGGATATTTGTTTAAGCGTATAGATTAGATCAATATGACTTAGTTCTTAACAATTCAAGAACATCTTGTGAGCATGAATACACCTTGCAGATTCATATTCTAAAGGATTTTGTCTGAAGCAAGCATAGTGCTCTGTTTTAAGTAAAATGGCTCATGGTTACAAAGTAGAAATCTCTATTATTGGGAAGCTGCTGGAGAAAACATTTACTAGAATCACTTTACATGCAAATTCCTGCATTGTGACGTTTCAATAGAAGAGGAGTGTGAAGAACTGAGAAAGAATATATCAGATTGATGCACAGTAGATAATCTTACATCAGATGAGTTACGAATAATAATACAGTACTGTAGATTCAATATCCTGTACTCATTACACTTGAAGAGACCAAGAAAATTGGATTTCGGATATAGAATATGTTCATGTTTTTTAACCTTAGACAAGTGGAGGCATATTTCGTCTCATACAGACACCATACAGACAATGAAATATTTCAGTTTCTTCACCCTTGAAATAAAGTAATTTATTTACTTTCCTGAAACCTATTAAGCTAATATTTCTACAATATTGCTTTGAAGATGTTATTACATCTGACTACATTGTTATTAGAAATTCCAAATATCAGATCCAACAATTATAGAAAACTAAGTGTGTGTATGGGTTTCTTTATAATCTGTAACGTGATTATAATTATAATCTATAATAAGATTAAAATGAGAGAAGTAATGAGTCCCACGAAATCTGTATAGATAGTAATAACTTTGAATGTATGGTTAAAATTTATTCCCAATAATTTTTGAACACCCAAGGTAGTATCTAATAGAATTTAGTAAAATTTTTCTCTAAATCCCCTCCCAATGTAGTATATACAATAGGATGTAAAAGTCAAGGCAATGTGTACAATGGAGAAATAAGTCAAATAAATAAATAAAAGTCAAGGTAACAACCATAGAAGAACCTATCTGATTTTATTACGAGACATTAATATGTCAACTGAAATGTTGAGCTCTCAGAAAGAGGTGCAACGCATTTGTTAGGGAGACATTGGAAACTAGACTATTAATTAATTCTGTTTGATGTTTGGCCCTTTCAGTTCCTGGCTGTATCTACAAGTCTTATATTTCACTAAATTATGTTTCCTTTTTCCATATTTTCAGGGTTGTGGTCTTAATGCTTACTGCCTTGTATCTTCTGTTGCTATATGGTTTGTATGTTCCTGACTGGGAGTATCAGGTTCCAATTGATGCATCATCTTCTGGGAAAATTTACACGGTGGGTTTTCCAAAGTAATTTGGTTTATATCTCACAAAGTGTGGACGACAAGTTATTTCTGAAAATGTTGTAGCAAAGTATATTGATATTATTGGTTCCTGTTGAAGGTGAAATGTGGTGTGCGGGGAGACACTGGACCAGCATGTAATGCTGTTGGTATGATTGATCGCAATATTTTGGGTATTCATCACTTGTATGGAAGGCCAATCTATGCACGCACAGAAGTATGTTTCTTTTTCTTAGGAGTTCTACTTGATGTTCATTTCAACATTTATTTCTCATTCTTTGATTCTGAATATCTATTATCATTGCAGCAATGTAGTATCAACTCCCCAGATTATGGTCCACTTCCTTCTGATGCTCCCTCGTGGTGCCAAGCCCCTTTTGACCCTGAAGGGCTTTTAAGGTTTGCTTGTTTTTTCTCCTCATAGTTCAACACATTAACTATTAGTCAAATCGCATTGTACGAAGAAAGAAGTAGATTAGCATTATGACTTCTCATTGCAACTTTCTCCATACACACCAAAACAAAAGGATAAATAGCTAAAAAGAATGATTACTATTCTGGTGCTGTTATGTTCTCGGTCAGCAAATGCATTTATCAAAAATAAATTAAAAATATAAATATTTCGACATATCTCAAGTTCAGTTGTGAAGATCTCTGATGAGAACAGACTTTAAAGCGTGATAACAAAAGAGAATGCATTTTTTTAAAGGATAATTTACTTAATTTTAAGCTGTTTTCTGTTGCCAATATTCTATTAACCTCATTCTACATTCATTGCAGTACAGTGATGGCTACTGTTTCTTGCTTGATTGGTTTGCAATACGGGCACATTATTGTCCATTTCAAGGTGAATAGTTGAATTGTGTGACTCATGATTTGTTTTGGAAGGGTGAATAATGCCTAATTATTCTTATCTCCCTTGATCACACACAGGATCACAAAACTAGACTATTGCAGTGGCTTGTTCCATCATGTTGTCTTGTAGCCGTGGCTGTGATATGTGCCATCTGTGGTAAGATTTTCTTCTATTACCTTTTTGTTGCATTACATCCTGACCAAGTTGCTGATTTGGCTACTGTATTTTTGTCTCCCATACTTGTACATGTGTGACAGAATGGACTCACACCCAAAAGAATTCTTGGGAACATTTTTTTTTCAAGAGAATTCTAAGTAATAGCTTCAAATTATATTCTTTTAATCCACACTTGAATAAACAGATGAAATTAATGAAACAAGAAAGCCTCAGAACAGTCATCTAATGTCATTCATGCCTCCCATTTCAAACTTTCTACTTTTTCACAATAAAGTGTTTTCCCCATTGACATATTTTGGTTCCTGTTGTAGGGATGCATATAAACAAGGTTCTATACTCTTTCAGTTACATGTGCTTTACAACTGGCGCTGCTGGAATTCTCTTGGCTGCAATTTATGTACTGGTTAGTTTTGAAGAAATTTTCCCAATTGTTTTAGCATTTGATACAAATGCTCGGTTAAACTTCCAGTGATTGGTTTACTTTGAATGCTATTGCTTACTCGAATAAAAATATGATAAAATTCTACAAAGTCCAGGCTTATTCCTCTTACAGGTTGATGTCTATGAATATGGACGCTTTACTTCGGTGCTGGAGTGGATGGGAAAGCACGCTTTAATGATATTTATTCTCGTAGCATGCAATATTGTACCGCTTATTCTGCAGGGATTTTATTGGAGTCAACCTCATAATAACATGGTTAGTGTATCTATTATTTGCTCTTAAATTTCACGTATCCTTCAATCTATAATGCAGATCGTCTTTGATTTTTGTCTGACAAATAATCTGATTATTGCAGTTAACTTCAATTGGAATTGGGTCACAGGGGTAGCAGAGCAGCTGTTTACATCTATTCCAAGTCCAGTGCAGTATTTAAGATTGGTGAGGGTTAGCCAGTGACTTAGATTTTGGTCCCTCCGCTGACTCAAATGTCCATGCGTGCCTGCATAGCATATGGTTGATGCATCAACATAGAAAGAGTCAGAATGGTAGGAAAAGTAATAGAATTAGCAATATTTTGCACTCGTCTCAAAAGGTTTGTTCCGTCTTACGAGATATCCTCAGCTAAAGGATTTTAATTATTTTGCTTAGTAACTCGGATGCTACTCTGACACTAGTTTCTATTGTGAATTACATGGTCCTCTTACACGAAAGCTTGTGTTACTTGTGTGCACTTAGATTCCTTGAAGAAAGTTCTATACTGATCGACCAAAGTTGGCGTAAATTGTAAGAGTGAGAATTGTTATTTGGTTGCCTACATTTGTAACTTCCTACTGTAACATGGAAAGTTTAAATTCGAATGGATTCAATCGAACATAACTGCAGAAGAGAAAAAAGGGAGATGTAAAAATTATGCATCGACCTTGAAGAAAGAATAGTTTTCGATCCCTGGGATTGTCATGATGAGCCCTCACTCTAGGTGTAGACCCAATTCAAATCGTTAAATTACTTGATCTAAAAGATTAAATTATTAGAGATTATCACTTGTATATCATATAATTTTTATATACATGTTCCCTGGCTAGGGATCATTTCTTTCCGGTGGTCACTTGAATTGAAACTTCTGATATCAATGTAGAACCACTTGATTATTGCTAATGGTCACCACATGTATATTACTTTGGGATAAAAGTAGGTTAAAATCAAAATATGGTAATGAGATGAGTAAGATACAATGATGAAGTTTAATTTGCATTACATATTTGATTCAGTGGAAACATAATATGGAAAAGCTAATAAAGAAACCCAATTGACAGAGACAAACAGGTGAGCATAGCATGATGGTATGACGAACAACCCTGGAAACTGATTGCTCCAACTCTCTGGATCTGCCTGCCATTGGACTTCACACTCACCTCACTCCAGATAAATAAATTAAGCAGCAGCAGCTTATACAATAAATCTCCACGTGAAATTGAATATATAATTATCATATGTCTCTGTCTCTCTTGCACTCTGGTGACACAGTGGGATATCTGACCCGATCAGTGCAGTAGTTATAAATAGTGTATTTGCTTCGAACCCATCGGAGTCGACGATATTGAAAGGCATCCAGGTCTTGAAATTCCTTCTGATCCCACCAGCGTTTGCCTTGAGTGGCACAGAATTTGGCATTCACAGAGGCTTCACAACCATCGACATGGAAACTCTTGTATGAAGCAACAAATGGAGCCTTAGACCAATCTGTTTTCTCAAGCCCTCCCCTGGTAGCCCAGTCGTCAGCATTCCACAGACTGGAGTATATCTTCATGGGTTGGTCGAATGGAAATTTCACTCCCAAGTCTTTGCTATTCTTGAACACTCTAATTGGGATATCATCCACGAAAAATCTGTGCCACCCAATCATCAATCATTGTCAGTTACTAAGAATTAACAATGATTTAAAGCATATTACTCTCCTTGATTCGCGGGAATAGAATAAGTTTCATGACAGATTGCATATAAACAAAATTAATGGTCCTAGAAAGTCAAAATTGTCACATGGTATTGAACCCTGCTACATACCCTGCTCCAGCTGGCTCACTGGAATCACCAGGGCCACAGGAAAATCCCAGGGTATTCACTATGGCTAAATAATGATTTACGTCTGGACAAAGCAGAATCTAGACGGTCCCGTGCCAAGGACCCAAGTCAAAAAGACGATGTTTGGGTACAAGTCAGACTCAGTGGGAGAAAGGAGATATTTATGATTAACTCACCAAATTGTGCTGTATGTACACACAAGCTTACAATTCTCTCACATGAAAAGGGATCCACATGTAATATAATATTCGTGAGCCCCATTGTGTATACACGGCTTACACCCCTTTCAAATGAAAGGGAACCCATATGTAATACAATATTCGTGAACCCCCTCCATGTGAGGGTGTAAGGCTGTGTGTATACCATAAATTGTACACACAGCATTTTCCAAATATTTATGAAACAACCAGAAATGTTAATACACTAAAATATTTTTGTAACAAAAAATGATCGAATAATTATAAGGAAACAAAATAATGTAAATTTAGTGAGATTTCCAGGATAACTCCATTTTTTTTCGTCTCGACATTTCTACTAGTAAGAAAATGCAAGTTTCTCATTTTGAAAGTATATATATATTTTTTTCAACAATGTTTGTTGGGGGGAAAAAAGGTTACTTTAATTTAAAGGTTAAAAGAGGAATAAAATCATGAGAATTTACAGATCTTGTCGAAATGAAATGATTTAATAAAAAAAATTCAACTAAGAACATAACACTTACACAATCTGGTAGAGATTCCACAATACAGAATAATAATGGTACTCTTTTGTTGGATCAAACCACAAGTAAATGCGCTGCTCTTTGTCTCCTTTCCCTCCTGTGTATACATTTGTCTGCAATATGTATGGTTGCCCTGTTCTGTTCCCCAAGAACTCGAAATCTATTTCGTCGTGCTCCGAGTTTTGAGAAGATAGCTGAAACATCAAAACAATGTTGGTACATAGCTGTAAGTAAATAAAAGCACATGTCAACAATGGCAATATTCATTCACCTACATAGAAAGCAGTGACAGTTCCCGCAGAATCCCCAGGAACCATTTTAATCTGCATACTGAAGTGCCCAAATAGGTAAGAACCCTTTGACTGGAAACCAGTACCTGCACCGGAAACAAATATTATTGTATACATATATGGGCAGGATAAAAAGTGCAAGGCATAACGTAATATTACTACCAGTACCAGTATAATTGTCAAGGGAGAGCTGGATCTCAGATCCACCATTGAAGTACTTAATATGATCAAAAGCCCATGTGGGCATATAGTTTCTGCCAAATGGTACATCTACTGGTTTCCTTGGTGCTGCACCCATTGCTCCACAGACCATCATCAACAAACAGATTGACAGACTCCATTGGTAATAATAAGAAGCCATCTTTCTGCAAAATGAGAAACAAATATCAGCAGACTGTAACAGCAGAAAATATGGTTTCTACTTTCTAGCGCATTACCTCAAAGTCATAGGACAGAGGAAGAAGATGAGGAGAAATGGAGGAGTCTATGGTCCTTTTATAGGGGTCCAACTCTAAGTAGGGAGTAGAACAGACAATAAATTAAGGGATAGAAGTAAGCAAAATGTCATATGTATACTCTTTTTGTTGACATTATAATTATTTTAATTAGTTGGGCCCTCTGAACATGTGAGGGGGTTGTAGGCTATGGTGTATAAGCATCATTTTCCAATTTCAAAGTGTTGATTGGGGAAGAAAATTATAAAAAATTTAAACTATCCAATGATATGTTACCCGTGACAAAATGTAAAAAATGATATTACACGTAGCATGATTGAGAAACAAAATCGTGGAATGCACACTATCCAGTTAGTTTTGGGTTGTATCTACCTATAAATGTAACCCAATATTGAAAGACTCGTACGTGTCCTTCATATTATTTTACTATCAACTCTCTTAGATATGTATTACTCTCCAGCTCACATAACACAAATATTGGTGTTCATAATAAATAGCATTCACGATTGAATTACTACAAGGTTCAAGAATGTATTTATTTATTTTATTTCTCGTAGCAATGAAGCCTTACCTTTGTGCCTGAAACCTGGAAAAATTAAGGAGAATTTATACTTTCTCTTGTGGATTTTATATTTTAAAATTTTATTGATTAAAAAAAGTCGACGTGACCTTAAAAGGTGACATGGGAGTGAAAGTAACATTGTAATTTGAATATCGTTTAAAATGCTAAATATGTAAATACTAAATGCGTTATGTGTGCAACTTTATTTGTTATTTGATAATATTCAAGAAGCAATAATACGAGTTACTTAGGAAAATAAAATATTCGACAAAAGCATACAATTTCCCTACTCACAATATAGCCTCCTTCTTCCTACAGGCCACTAGAAGGGGGCTATTGTTCATATGGTGGATACAAGGGTTTAAGTCTTGAAATACAAAGCTCCAATGAATGCCGGCGGGAGCTATACCTACCAAAAAAGATTTGGAAGTGTATAGAGATCTATTTCCTCTGGGCCCCTTTCTTTTTGGAATGGTGTGCTTTCATTCCATTTATGGGGATTTCACTTACTTATAAGTAGGGAGAAGCGCTAACAGTCGAGTAAGAAGAAATTATGTTTCTATATTTGATATTTAGATTATATTACTAGAGAGGAAGGGAATGGAATTTTTTTGACAATGATTGATATTTCCTAATATATTAAATTTTCTCGATCATATCTAGATGTAATTTCTAAACATGCAAGTTCGCGCACACACACACACACACACATATATATATTAAAATTGAATTACTCTTCTTGTACAGTCGGGGTTGACAACCTCGGTTGACAATGTACTCATTGGAGGGGGAATCCAAGGTTTTTTTATTTAGCGTGGACCCCACTCCCATGTGTCTAGTTGTCAATCGGAATTGTCAACTCTTATTGTACACATAGCACAACTGATTAAAATTAAAGAATTGCTCTTATTAATTTGAAGGTTTCGATGCAAAAACACAAAGGTCCCCACTGCACCACCCATTATTCGTCAGCTCGAGGACTTTTTAATTTTACACCAACCCAAATCTTTAAAAAGTTGAAAAATAAAAAATAAAAAAAATGTAAAAGTACTGACACCAATTTGTCCATTGCACATTCCAGTAGAGATACGGGTTTTTTACAATTTGTTGTTCCCAAACGACTGTTCTTTAGGCTACCTTTGTGAATCGATGGACTTAGTGGCCAGACCTAATTGTCATTGAAATGTGATGGTCCCGTCATGAGATTATATATAGGCATTGTCGAGTGGCATCCTATCTAAATATAAAAATATAGTGTGTTGGCTTGATTCCATTTTAAAATGTCAACATTATTAAAAGGAGTAGCCCAAGACCTTTTTTAAGTTGGTCAATATTTCGGTATTTAACAAATGTGAGATTTTTATCTCTAAACATGCTCTCACAAGATGATAGCTTGTTTGAGCAGACCAATTTTGGAATTCGTATGCTCATTTATTGAGTCTTAATCGGAACGAATCGCTGATTGGAGTTTAATGGGCTCTAATACTATGTTAAGATTTGGAATTCTATCTTAAAATATCAACTTTATTAGGAGTAATCCAAGACCTTTTTTAAGTTAGTCAATATTTCGGTATTTAATCGATGTGAGATTTTTATCTCTAAACATTCCATGTGAACCGGTGGTCCATGTCAAATGAATATATATTTGAATAAAACTACTTGTACATAATTTTATGTATATAATGATGTCCAGACACTCATTTATCATTTTAAAACACAATCTCAACATCATTTTTTGTCATCCTTTATATATGATTTTTATATACAAGTAGCATAATACATATTTTTATATCTCAGCACATTATTTTTTCTTACTAAAATGAGAAACGTTGAGTTGTGACATTAGTTATTAATGGTGCACGAGTATTTGTTTCCTTCCCACCTCTATGCACAGGTGAGGAACCCTCCCACACATCACATGACATGTGCCTAGTCTGCATATAAAAGCCATCCGTTCACATGCACTTTTTCTTTTTCCCTTTTTTTTGGGTTAATTCTATCTGTGCACTAATACTAATCAAGTCACAATCAAATGAATTAAATAGTCCACTTGATTGATCATTAATTGATGACCAGAAAGAAAAAGTAGATAATATACTATGGAAATTGGAATGGAGTGATCCTCATATCTTTATATAGATTAATCTCTGATTTGCATCTAATTATGAAAATCGGTTGCTGATTTTCATAGCTGGTTATGTGGGTCGGTCCACGTTTGTGGCCTTTCCCCAAAATAATGAAATAAAACTCAAATCTATCTGTAATGCCATTGGCCTTCCAATTACATCTTCAATTGATTTCCGCCCACAAAGTAATCTCTGCTTGCAGCAAAAACTACATTGGAAATGATTGATATCTTTTAATAAAACGTCAAATGTAATCTTCTACTCTGTTTGTGTCCTCTAAGACACTTTTAGGGCCTGTTTGGTACCCATTTTTTTCAAAATACATTTTTCTCTCTCTTCTTTTCAACCACACATTCTTTATTAAAATAATATTAAACGTAAATCAAAAACTTTTCCTTATTTTTTAACCACACATTTCCTATTAATTTACTATTCAAAAATGCATTTTCACATAAAAATCTCTACCAAACAACCTCTTATAATTTAACACATTCGAAGAGATATAAAATCGTTTTTCACAAACAAATCTAGTATATATTTTTGGAAATTGCATACCTGAGTCTAATGCTAGTAAAGTCTCGGGTTTGGAAAAAAAAAAATTATTGAATTTGTATTGTCATATGATGAAATATGAATTTCGTCAATGTTGGAATGTCCCAGGATACAACTGTCATGTACAATGTATAGAATAAAGATAAATTTCATAGATAAAAGTTGTTTATGTTAGACTATGTTTTGAAGGATCAGCGACAATTGCACAAAAAATATTAAATTTTATATTGTTTAAAGATAATTGAAACTTTTAAGATATAATGTGAAAACAAGACCCTAAATCCATGATACGATAATGGGTTAGACTTCATCCATCCAAATCTTTAATTTAGGTTGAAGTTGAAAATTAGTGTACTTTTGACATCCCATAATTGATTGGCTTGTTTTGACGGATTGACTGATTGGCATTGATATTTGCTAACTATTTTTACATGTAGCTTAGCTGTATTTAATAAGTGGTTATTGGAATCCAATTGAGAGTATGGTCAAATACGAGCATGCATTCCCTGCAAACTCATGAATCCGCCATTATAATTGCCAGTTCAAACCAATATTTTGTGCATTTCAATTATATGTAAAAAAAATAATCAAGTTGCATGCATAGGCTGGAGTATCTCATTTTCACACAAAAGTTTTGTCAATCTTGGCATGCCTTGTATATATTTGATTCATGTGATGCACTTTTTGAGGTCTCTTGTGATTTCAAGAAGAAAGAGACTCGATAGACCTAGATTCAAGGAAAAAATGAAAGTGACCTCAACCTTTCCAACCCCCAAAAGTCTCACATTGCGGAGAGTTAATCTCAGCCGTAGGTGAAATCCAATGGTCCAACATCCACTTAAAGAAGCACGATTCAAGTGAAAATATTAGAGCCAATCCGGGATTGCGATGAGGCCGTCCATCCAAATTGGCATCCATAAAATGAAAGAGTTGCAATTTTGAGAAACATGACTTTATGCTTTACATTCTTCACCTTGATTCTCACAAAATCTAACTCTCTTTCGTTGTTTAAATGTGCTTAGTTGATTAATCCTACATCATTGCCCATATACCTGCATCAAATTCAATAAAGATAAACATGTTTTAAACTTACGTACTGATACTACTTTAGTCCCCATGTCCGATGAATTTTTATCTGTGAGAATTTTATTTAGATTTACTTCTCCTACAGACAATTTTTCTCTAATGAAGTGATACTTCACCTTAATATGTTTGGACATTTCATGATACACAGGATTTTTACTAAGTAATAAAGCACTTTGGTTGTCAGTAAAAATTGTAGGAGTATCATACAGGAAGTTCAATTCTTTTAAAATTCACTTTAACCAGATGCATTCTTTAACAGCTTCAATTATAGCAACATACTCAACCTTTACACTAAACAAGGTTACTACAGACTGTAACTGAGATTTCCATGTTATGCAATTATTGTCAAGTGTAAAAAAATAGGATGTAGTAGACTTTCTTTGATCTTTATCACCAACAAAGTCAGCATCTACGTATCCTTTCAGAGTCAAATTATTTGATTATTTTATATGCTAAGCCCAAATTTAATGTCCCATTAATGTATCTTAACAATCACTTTAATCCTACCCAATGTGGTTTTCTTGGGTTGAACATAAATCTACTTAAAAAACTTATTGCATAAGCCAAGCCTGGTCCAGTGGTAATTATAGAAAACATAACAAATCCTATGGAATTGGCATATGGTATGTTTTCCATCGTTTTCATTTCCTCTTAAGTTTTTGGGAAATGCTTAGCCCCCATTTAGCCCCTATTTTTTGAAAATAAAAATGGGTGGAATAATATTTTTTTGAAA